AAATTCAACAGTAGTCACAACCAGGGACGGAACTTGTTGTGACCGGAAGAGCCACGACTCTTCCAAAATTTTCAAAATTTATATATATATATATATATATATATATTAATATTATATTTATATATTATCATATTATTAACTATAATAAAGTTAAAAAAATTGAGTAAAAAAAATGAAAAGTTCTATTATTTTTTTAGTCAATAAAAAAAAATTTATATAAAAATTTTAATTTGTCATTCCAAATTTTTTATCCAAATTTTGTCACTGTTATAACCTATTTCCATTTTTGGTCAATACATAGGTAAGTAATATTAACATTGTTTTTACGTTTCAGTATATTCTGTTTATTATTCACGATGTCAAATATATTTAATCACGATGTAAATAATAGGTAAGTATTATGAACATTGTTTTTATATTTCAATATGTTGTGCTTATATATTATTCAGAATATCAAATATATTTAATTGCGATATAAATAATAGGTAAATGTTATGAAACTTTTTTTGCATTTCAATATATTCTGTTTATTATTCACGATTTCAGATATATTTAATCACGATGAAAATAAATTTTAACAAGTTGTCCACTTCTTTTTGACGGATGTTGGGTTGATTCTTCTATTCTAATAAATATTCCAATTTTTTTGTTTATTAAATATATAATAGTTATTGTAATTAGACTCAAATTCCTTTCGCAAATCGTGGATTTGATTTGTGCGGATAAATAAATATAATTATGAAAAAAATTTATACTTAAAAAATAATTAGTCAATAAATAATTATTAACAAAGTTAATAAATTCTATACATCTATAATTTTACAATAAATAAAAATTATGCAAAAAGTGATAGAAGTATTTAGAATTTGATGAGTCTTTACTAATTTTCGGCTTGACAAGAAAAATCTTGAGTTAAACTAAATGTTTATCGTAATTTTGATTACTTACGAAAACTGAATAGTAGTTACGAGAGTATCCTCTCATCTACCAATTTTTAAGTATATAAAAAAATGTTTAAAGTGTTGATTTGATATTAGTAAACTGCTTTAA